GTGATTGGCTGATTAGAAATTAAGTGTTAACGAGCAGTTGGACAGGTGTACCTAATAAAGTGGCCGGTGAGTGTATATATTCTTATTATTATTAACTTTTTTATTTTTTTCCCCTGACCAGACATGAGGGTAATGGCTATGAGCAAGGCCTTGCCCACAATGAATGGCCACCATCCTAAAACTGCAACAATTGGTTGATTTAATCTTAGTCTGTAATTTCTTTGGCCTTTGTGCTTTGTTTCTTACCTGTTTTCTCCTCCCTCTGTTCCTGTCCCGCCCACCTGACCGTCTCTCCCCAGGTGTTTGTCATTTGGTTCATTCTTGTAACCCTTTCTATGTTTGGTCCTCCTGTGTCTTCATCCAGCTGCAAAGAAATGCTTATACGCCGTACAACATCCCAACCCTCCTTSTGTTTATATCCGCGTTTCTAAAAGTTAGTCATCTAAAAACAAGTTTAAAAATACTAGTTTATGTTTTGAATCTTCTCAAATTAAGTGAAATAATCTGTCAGCACAGTAAGACTACTGCACTTAGTAAAACATTTTGAGAAAATCTCCAACAAGATTAACAATCAAACTTATTCTGCTTAACAGCTCGTTATTTTCTTGTTAAAAAAGYCGTACTTTTAACTGTGCCTTGTGAGTCTTGCTTGCATTTTGGGTTTCAAAAGATGAAGAAGAAAAGAAAGAATGTGACAAATATTTTCACTTAAAAACAAAACAAAGTAACTGATAAAGGTTTAGCTAAATGCTATTTAATAAATGTTCAAAGTGCTACAGCTAGCTGCTGCTGGTATTTGGGTATTTAAATGGTTGTAGAAATCCTTAAAAATAACAGCGTCTTTTGCTCAGAAGTAAACTATTTCTCCAACCTGAGATCCTTCAAAGAGCTATCTACAACAGGTAAGATATTCTTTATGAAATTTCCACAGTTTCTTATTTAAATATTTTGAACTTTCAAGGTTTTTGAAACAGGTAGCAGGAAAAAAAGTTGATATTCCACGCTGACGGAAACTCAATTCTTGAACTTTTCCAGCTACAGAACTCTTCGTTCCATCACGCGACGCTCAAACAAATCAGAGAAAATTAAATATCTTGCAGCTGCTGCTCCCACTCAAACATCCTGCGACCCCCTCGTCCCCTAAACGCCCGGAGACACGTGGCGTTAACTTTCAGCACCCCTGAATGCCTCACTGCAGCCAAGCTCGAGAGACGTTCAGGGACCTCTGCTAAAACGCCATTAAATTTAAATAATGCACTTAACGCAGAAATGAATTTATAATGTTTGTTCTATTCATACTGGAGCACAAGAGCAGCAGCACGTCTGTTACATTTGTCCTTGTAAAACGGTTTAGGTTGCAAATGTACTTATTTTGTTGTTGTTGTCCATCTTGGTGTCTGTGCTGTTTGTCTGCAGCCAGCTGTGTTTGTTCATCTGTAAAGCAGGTTTAAAGGACTGGACTGGGATGTTTCCACAACAAAGCAGGCCTCAGTGTAAGTGAAATAACTAGCAGTAAACGTAGGAGGAAACTTCTACTTCCTGTCTCATCTTTTATTGCAGCAGATAAGACCCTGAATATATTTTCTGTTTGGTCTTCCAGCCCTGATCTTTGTCTCACAACATCTCTTTAAACTCTTCTGCGTGAACCGAAAACCATCTGTTCAGATGTTATCTGTGTGTTTTGTTCTTCTACGTTTCAAGAAGACACAATAGATGACTACAATACAACTTWATACACAAAGTAAAAAAAAACACAGATGGCCAAAGTGCTGTWCACTGATAACACAAAAGCAAATTTAATAAATTGGGTCAAATGAGCCATTGAAATCATAAAAACAACACACAAAACGATTAAAAACATGACATCCAACATATTAAGCAGGGTTAAAAGCCAAGGAGAAAAAGCGTGTTTTAATAACAGATTTGAAAACAGGAAGTGAGGCTGTTTGCTACATTCAAGGATGGGAGGACTGGAACGAGGTGAAAAAAACAACTTTTTGAGGCAACTTCTGCACCTGTCCACAGGTGATTTGGTCCACTTCTCATACACTGCAAAAACTGTCCACCTGACCAAGTTTTAAAATCTTATATCAGCCAAAAAGTCTTCTTGATCTTGTTTTGAGACTGATTTACTAAACAAGAACTGATTGTGTAAGAATAATAATCTTGTTTTCAGAATGTGTAAGATTATTTGTCTTGTTAGTCTGAAAATTTGACTCA